ATTTAAACAGTGTTTAGTCATTTCAATTAAATTTACAATTTCTATATTTCCTTTTTGCCATATTTATTCCTCATCTATTTTTTTTAAAAAAACAATATTACCCTTCATCCTCATCTCTAATCTTAATCAAATTCAATTTTTCCCTTCTATTCTATATTATACCCCTTCCCATTGTCATCTATTTTTATATCCATCCTCACATTGGTTAATTATGTAATTATGTAATACAGTTGTTTAATACAAATTCAACATTTTAATATAAATCAATTAGTTATATAACTCTCTTTTTTGTATATTAATCAATATGAACATGAATATTCCAATTATTTCCATGCAATCCAATTTCTTACAAATCAATTAATTATATTTACCAATAATAATAAACCAAATAATTTCCCCCATGTATTCCTCCAAACCACAACTTAACCATTTCTGCTTTCAACACAATATACAATTAATAGTATCTCAATTATTACAATTCCCTAGTTAAATAGAGCTTTTTTTCTTTTGTGTTTTAAAATCTTGAACTCTCCTCTTTTGCCCTAAATTTCCCATTGTTTGCAGTTTTGCACCTACCTTTTTTGGTGAGGAAAAAGAAAAAGAAAGAGAAATCTCTCTCTGCCTCATTTTGTCACATTGCAGCCAAGCCCCCCCTTTACTTTCGCTTTCGCTTTTTCAGCACAGCTAGGGGAAAAAAAATCTGCTCCAGGAACTCTTTGCAGCTAGCAACACAACAGAGCCCTGCGCAAAACAGCTGAGAGCAAATCAGCTGAGAGTGGGGAAGCCGAACTAATCAACTTGTGCTAATTAACCTATGTGGAAGCTGTAAGGGGCTGTTTTTTCTATTTTTGCAGGCATCGGTCTACTCATTTGTTTTCTTTTAACACTGATCTCCTGTAGGGCAACTCTTTGAAGCCCCGCAGCAAGAGTTTAAATAGTTTTTTTCCCTCTAGCCATCAGCTGGGACTCAGGAGGCAGCCGGGACTCAGGAGGCAGAATGAAAAATCGGGACTTTTTTAAAACACCGCAGGATGTGGGACAAATTACTAAAAATTGGGACTGTCCCACCAAAAGCGGGACGTCTGGTCACCTTATATATAACTAGTGTCCTTAAATACAGCACTTTTTTCCTTTTGCAATGTATCTTTACCAAGAAAAGACACCATACTTTGACACAAAAGTAATACAGCTTGGGATACATTTGAAGGATGTTATAGCAATTGAGTACATAACTTGCCATACCATAGTTAGCCTCTAACACATCCATCCCAAAGGAATTCAAAAGAAAAAGCTGAAAAAATGATGCATGTTGCCTTGAGTTTTCGCTAGAGAATTGGTGATACTGAGCAATATTGAACATTGTACAATATAAAAAGTAACTGTGTGTGTATGTTTGTATGTGAAGAGTGTGTGCGTGTAGTTATCTATAACCTGCTATCCCTAAATGTCTTGAATGATAATTGGAAGGTAAAAAGTTGAATATAATGGATATTATGTGTTTGTTTCTGGATAAATCCGTTTTGTTTGGAACTCAGACCTCACGTTTTTATTCATGCCTCACTGTTCTTTTGTAATTATCCTAACCTCAAACTATTTAACTATGAAAGCAACATAATAACCACAATTGGCTTCAGGGCCAAAAAGAGAAGGAAAAAAAAAATGAAAATGTATGAATAAATCAGCAGACAGTTACTACTGTATTATTGCCTGAAAAAGTTCTTCTACAAATATTCTGATTAATGCATTGAAACACACAGTTGTTTATTAGGCAATATTAGCAATGAGTATTCCAGATATTAAGGTCATGATCTAAATGTGGTGTCTACTAAAAGTACTGTGTTATCTATAACCTGCTATCCCTAAATGTCTTGAATGATAATTGGAAGGTAAAAAGTTGAATATAATGGATATTATGTGTTTGTTTCTGGATAAATCCGTTTTGTTTGGAACTCAGACCTCACGTTTTTATTCATGCCTCACTGTTCTTTTGTAATTATCCTAACCTCAAACTATTTAACTATGAAAGCAACATAATAACCACAATTGGCTTCAGGGCCAAAAAGAGAAGGAAAAAAAAATGAAAATGTATGAATAAATCAGCAGACAGTTACTACTGTATTATTGCCTGAAAAAGTTCTTCTACAAATATTCTGATTAATGCATTGAAACACACAGTTGTTTATTAGGCAATATTAGCAATGAGTATTCCAGATATTAAGGTCATGATCTAAATGTGGTGTCTACTAAAAGTACTGTGTTGGGCTACTGATTTTAGTCATAGAGGAACTGTGTTAGAAACCAGAAATCAAAAGTTATTTGGTATAACCATCTTTCAGCATTAGTAATGTAATTATAATTATTGTCACAACCAATAGATCAGAACTTGTAGAAAAATGCTAGGAAACAAATTTACTACTTTAAGGTAATTTAATGTAATTAGAATTCTAATCTAAACTTCCATTAAGGAGCTAGTGTAATACTTAAAAGTCAGAAATTATTTAAAAACTAATAGAATAATTAACCCCATATTCAACTTCCAAAGCTGCCTATTACCAATTCAGCACTTTAAAAGAAAGACTATTTTAGTTGTAATTATTATGCTAGCATATAATGGACATGTAGATTTGAGAGATGGGAAAGCAGTGGGCACAAATGATAGGCATCATGACATCAAAGCACAAATGTCAGACCATATTGTATATCATTTAATTACTGCAGAAATTACATAATTATATCATTTGTGTGATGTCAAAAGGGCCTTGATGTCTTGAACTGGATACCTCTGCATAAAGTTTCAGAAAAACAAATCCCTTCATATAAAATCATGAGTGAAATCTGATCCACAAGCAGGCTTGATAATTTGCCATATAGCTAAATCCAAAACTATTTGTAAATTTTCAATAGTGTAGTGATTGGAAAACTGGTGTGTTTCCCCACCAGTTTTTAAGATTAAAAAAATGGGGACAATAGAGCAAAGCTTAACACACTTGCATAACCTAATTCAGGACAAACACCCTAGCAACAAACCAGAACAATGGCTGTGGAAAAGTTATTTTCAAAGTATTTATAATCATGGTCCATTAAATAAAGATTCAGAGGTAGATACCCATTCTCTATACTTCCAAAGAATGGAAGCTTTATGATTCTAATTGCATTTATGTATGTGTCAAGTCCTGTGGTATCATACTTCTCTTAGTAATCCTACTAATAATCAGATCTTCCACTTGTATAAGCCTTTATAGAGAACATCAGGTCTCACAGAAATATGTCCACATTATCCCACAATAGGAACAATGCCCAGCGCCTTCAAAATGCCTTGGGTATATATATAAAAAAATTAGCACTAAAATCACTATATCATTTTGGTATAGGAGTCACACTAGAAGAATAGAATAGAATTCTTTATTGGCCAAGTGTGATTGGACACACAAGGAATTTGACTTAGGTGTATATGCTCTCAGTGTACATAAGGAGAATAAAATACATTCATCAAGAATAAAAAAAATACAACACTTAGTGATAGTTAAGGTTACTAATAAGCTATCAAATCGAACTAGGAAACAAATAAAAAGAATATAATTGAAAGATACAAGCAACATGGTTATCGTAATAAGTGGGAAGAGATAGATACTAGTAAGGAAGAGAAGAATAATAGTAATACAGTCTTAGTAAATTATTCGACAGTGTTGTGGGAATTAGTTGTTAAGCAGAGTAATGGCATTTGGGAAAAAACTATCCTTGTGTCTAGTTGTTTTGGCGTGCAATGTCCTACAGCGTCTTTTTGAGGGCAGAAGTTGAAACAATTTATGTCCAGGATGTTTCACAGTCCTCTTTTTGACTTGTGCAGTATACAGATCCTTAATGGAAGGCAGGTTGGTAGCAATTGTTTTTTCTGTGGTTCTAATTATCCTTTGAAGTCTGCATTTGTGTTGTTTGGTTGCAGAGCCAAACCAGACAGTTATGGAGGTGCAGATGACAGACTCAATAATTATTCTGTAGAATCAGCAAAGATGGAGTTATGGTCTCCTTTAGCATGACTGGATAACTTAGACCACTCTTCTTCTTTCCTAGTTGTTGTGGGGAAAATGCAAAGCAAAACAAAATACCATGTATGCTATTTTGAGTTATGGAAAGTAAGAGGCAGGATATAAAATATAAGATGCTATTCCTTATTATGTATCTGATTGCAATAATACACTGGTCCAAGGAATAACTTTATGTACATCTGGATTATTATACAACAGGGCCTATAAAGATAAATGTGTGTACAGCCTTCCAAGAACTGTAATGTTGCTCTGCCTAGAAATATGTTGATTTAGAGTAGAGCTACCTGGGGAAAATCCTGATAAACTGAAATTTAATTAAAAATAAGAAGTGGATGATGCAAACACAACAATAATCCTGGTGCCTGCATTACTCTCCATCAGCTCCAATAAATCAATATGATTGACAAGGTATTTTCTGCCCTTCTAATATTATCTTCTACAGCTGTTGGTCTACCCCAATTTGCCTGCTTGCTGGCAGTTCAAAGTTTCTCAGGTAATTTGAAAAAGAAGATCTTATTTTCATACATTTTTGAAACCTAGATTCTGTAATGGCAGATGTTAATTTCCACCTATCCCTGGCTTTTTTATATCCTACAAATTTTTAAGGTTGAGAAAAATGAGAGGCATAGACTAGAGCAAGAATACATACATAGTTAAATACTCATTGAGATAAAGCCTGGGTAAACTAAGCAAACTCCACACAAAACAAAATGTAAACTGAACTATTCTCTCCTCGTCTCTTTCCGGCCCAAGGTGAAACTCTAGTAATCAAACCAGTTCTCCTGGTTTCATTTGGAACCTCAGGTGAAGAGAATTGTTTTATGGGTAGTGTAGTTCAACCTCTCCGAAACGCCTGGCTCATTGGGCGTTCGGAAACGGTAGTAGGACTCAGTTTTCCAGAAGGCTCTGCCGCCACTAGACGAGGTGTTGCTCCTAATTAGGAAGGTAATCGATTCTACATTTAGGAAGCTCGCGCGGGATTATCAAGAATCCTGAATCACTCCTAAATTTCTAAAGTGATGCTTCAGGATAATTAACCTCTGCAGATTTGGGGGAAGAGAAAGGTATGATTTTGTTTAAATTGCACGTTTCAAATGTTAAATGAGAAATAGCTAAAATGGGAGTAGACGGAGAAGAGTGTGGTGTAGCTCTGTACCCAAGTCTGATCTTGGCTTTTGGGAAACTTAGCTCATAGCTCCGGTCTTTCCTCGAACATGTGTAAAACCATATAATCCTACCCTAGTTTATACTGTAAAGATTTCTGTGTTAATCAAGCCTTGATTTCGGTTTCTTCTCTAAGAGTTTGTGAAGTTAACATTTAGCAGGAGATACTACGGTAGAGTTTGTGGGTGCTCACAAATTTGAAATTCTCATCCAGGAGAGCGTGGGAGTCCTTTTTCCTTTGTTTTGTAGAGCTCATTTTAAAAACTATTATCCAGAATGGCATTATGCACGACACATTTGGTAGCTTATTTTCTCGTTTGAGCTATATTTTTGTGGGTTGTGCAGTGGATGCCGATCTATACCATAACGAACGTTTTCTTCTGCTTGCAAGGATAAATAATAAAGTTTTAGCTTGGACGGTAGAAATGAACTGATTTCTCCGTAGTCGCATAAATCCTAAGTGCTAAACTCTGGTTATGTGAGGATCACATGGGCAAGGGCGGGGAATGTGGGGGAGAACAACATCCGCCATTCAGAGTTTTTGGGAAGCAAAAATGAGTTACAAATATAAAAAGGGCGTTTTCAGCTGGTGGGCTTCTATTCTTGTTGCAGTTTTATTTTCTTGTACTTTTGTTTCTGTAAATCAAATTTTGAATGGTTGTTGATTGTAGTAGTATTTGCTTATCCATAGCTTACAGATTTATGGCTTATTAAATTTTTTCAAATACTACACTATAATATCCTGATTGTGAGTTTGCTGGGCAGCCCAGGGCAAATAACAGGTGTTAAATAGGTAGTCAGGTTTCTCTCTTGAAAGAAGAGTAATATTCAACTATATCTTTCAGCTATGCAAATAAAGCTGTATGTCATAATAATTCATTATAGCCTATAATATTCGGTGCAGGAAATAGGTAAAACAAATATTTTAATCTAAACAATACTATGTAAGCTAGGCCTTTCAAATGAATTAAGTTGAACTGATTAATCAAGTAAATAAAACTTTATTGCTAAATGTGTGTGTGTGTGTGTGCCAGAAGCTTTAGATAATGGCCAGAGAAATAGCTGTCTAGCAGAAACAGCTAGCATTTTGGTTTCTTAAAGAGGAATACATTTATTAATGAATAATAATGAGGTGGATGTACTTCATAAAAAAACTAAGGTATATTTTCCTGTAAGATTCTACACTTTTCTATATAAAATACCATTTGATAAACAAGATAGTGTTTGCGAAAGTTCTAGAAATGTTCATAAAAGTCTCATAGTTTTTAATTGCATAACTGAATATTATAAACTATCCAGAATCTTTTGGAGTGAGTAGCCATATTAAATTGATCAATAGCAGGGTGGATTTGATTTAAATCGAGTTGATTTAAATCACAATTTAAATCATGATTTAAATCACTAGTAAAAAGGCTTGATTTAAATCAACTCGATTTAAATCATAATTTTTAAAGAGCAACTGTCATCTCTGCTACTCCTTTGACCCACTGTTGACTCACCGAAGTCCCAGTGTTGCAGAATATACAGCCTCATGCTACATAACTAAGCTCCATTTCATGCTGAATAAACTAAATTATTTATGTATCTTAAATAGAAAACTATCTTAAGATAGATTTTTACCCCAAAAGTTTTTTATTAAAATAAATTCGATAAAAATAAAAAAAATCCGATTTAAATAAAAAAAATCCGATCAATAGTAACAATATTCCTGTAATATTTTTCTTGTCAATGCATATTCACCTTAATTGGAGAAAAAAATTTCCAAGGAAAAAGATAATCTTGGTGAATCTTTATAGAGCATTCTTCTACTTAATGATGGGGCAGTGGTTGTAGGTTCTTGTCTTTCACAGTACAATTATTTCTTCCTTGGCTTCTCTGACTTCCCATGATTTAGTTAAATCTCAAGGAAGATTGATAGAAGATAGAAGATCGTATTAACCCCTGGGAATCCTGTCATTGTTGGAAATTATTGGAGAATTCCTTCTCCTGTAGAGAAATTCAGAAAAATTGACCACCCAATTCTTTCCCCACAAATTGATATATTTTTAGAAGGCCATTTATGCCCAGCTCCCTCAATATTTGCCTAAGAAAGATTTACTTTGAGTTGAATGCACTAAAAAGCTATTTATAAATATCTAAAGAAAACCCATTGTAAAAAAAGTTTGTTTTAAATTGGTTACAATTTAAAAATTGTAAATCAAAGCCCACCAATCCAATGCTTTGTAATGAGTTGAACTGCAACTCCTAAAATCCACATGACATGCTAATTGAGTTGTTAAGATATGTAGTCTAATATATCTGGAAGACATTAGGTTGTGGAATGCTAAGCATGGCACACTTATAAAATTCATGTGTGCATTTAATTTTAACATAGGGCAATGAAAAATGCTTTAGGTGATTAATAATTATATGAATTTTTGTTTCATATATTGGGTAAATGTAGTATCACTTAAAACATACAGGATGGCCAGGTTCGCCTGATACGCCAGTTATGCCCCTTTCTGGATCGGGACTCCTTGTGCACGGTCACTCATGCCCTGGTCACGTCACGCCTGGAATACTGTAACGTTCTCTACATGGGGCTCCCCCTGAGGAGCACCCAGAGGCTCCAGCTGGTGCAGAATGCGGCCGCGCGGGTCATTATGGGAGCGACGTGGCGCTCCCATGTAACACCTCTCCTGTGCGAGCTGCATTGGCTCCCGGTGGTCTTCCGGGTGCGCTTTAAGGTGTTGGTTCTCATCTTTAAAGCGCTCCATGGCTTAGGGCCAGGATATTTGCGAGACCGTCTGCTGCTATCGATAACCTCCCACTGGCCAATTCGCTCACACAGAGAGGGCCTCCTCAGGGTGCCGTCGGTCAGGCAATGTCGGCTGGCGGCCCCCAGGGGGAGAGCCTTCTCTGGGGGCACCCGCCCTGTGGAACGAGCTGCCTCCTGGAATACGATTGATCCCGGACCTCCGGACCTTCCGTAAAGCCCTGAAGACATTTTTATTCCACCAAGCCGGCCTAGCCTAAATGGTTTTTAATTGGGATTTTAAATTTTATAGATTTGGGGGTTTTAAATTGGGAACTTAATTATTTAATTCTTTTTTAATTATCTTAACTTTTGTATTTGTATGTTTTTAATTTTGGCTGTTCACCGCCCTGAGTCCCCTCTGGGAGAAGGGCGGTATACAAATTAAATTAATAATAATAATAATAATAATAATAGTGATAGTGATAGTGATAGTGATAATAATAATATAATAAACCTTGTGTCAGGCCTGGAAGCCATCTTACCGGTCAGGGAACCATGACATCTTGTCTTAGAATCTACTGTACATGACAGTATGCTTTACCACAGGGGTCTCACACTTGTGTCGTCACGGTGCGTCACATGACGTATTGTGACTTTTCCCCCTTCGCTAAACCAGGGGTGGGCATGGCCAGTGAGTAAAGCACCTGGCCTGTGGGCCGTGAGTTTGATGGCCCTGTCCTATCAGCTATTTTTGGTCCAATATATTGAAATAGAATGAAACCGGAGATAATTTGAACTGAATATTGATAACTGCAAAATAAATCACACTTGTAAATCAACCCTTCCTAATTTTTTCTCCTTTGAAAATCATTGTCACTTCCTGAAAAACTACTTTTGTGAGCTGGAAAATCTGAATGATATCAGTGATGGGGAAAATAGATACTTACAAGTACCATTATGACTAAAGAGTAGTGAGTTAGCTTCTTCAGGTTTAGAAATACATGCATTTGGACATGCCCATATAATTTTCTTGGCTGCATCATGAAGTGATTTGCGATTGATTTAAAGTTCCAGGAATTTTAGAAGGGCCCATCTAGGTTCTAATCAGATCCAACACTACTTAGCTCTTTCATGGTTAGCTAAAATAACTTGGATTTTAGCTAAAATACAGGGGGGCTTTTTATCAGGTTCGCCTGATATGCCAGTTGCGCCCCTTTCTGAGTCGGGATTCCTTATGCACAGTCACTCATGCTCTCGTCACTTCTCGCCTGGACTACGCTAGCGCTCTCTACATGGGGCTCCCCTTGAAGAGCACCCGGAGGCTCCAACTGGTCCAGAATGCGGCCGCGCGGGTGATCACGGGAGCGACATGGCGCTCCCATATAATACTTCTCCTGTGCGAGCTGCACTGGCTCCCAGTGGTCTTCCGGGTGCGCTTCAAGGTATTGGTTCTCACCTTTAAAGCGCTCCATGGCTTAGGGCCAGGGTATTTACGAGACCGCCTGGTGCTACCGATAACCTCCCACCGGCCAATACGCTCTCACAGAGAGGGCCTCCTCAGGGTGCCGTCGGTCAAGCAATGTCGGCTGGCAGCCCCCAGGGGGAGAGCCTTCTCTGTGGGAACATCCGCCCTCTGGAATGAGCTACCTCCCGGAATATGGCTGATTCCGGATCTCCACACTTTCCGTAAGGCCCTGAGGACATTTTTATTTCAGCAAGCCAGCCTGGCCTGAATAGGTTTTATGGGTTAGGTTTTTAATTGTATTGCTAGGGGTTTTAAATTGGGGTGGCCGTTTAATTTAATTTATTTTTAATTATTTTAACTTTTATATTGTATGTTATTTTAATTCTCGGCTGTTCACCGCTCTGAGTCCCTTCGGGGAGAAGGGCGGGATATAAATTTAAATAATAATAATAATAATAATAATAATAATAATAATAATAATAATAATAATAATAGTAAACTGCAATGGGAAATTCTAAAAATTCTTCCCTTTCATTTTTTCATCTGATAAGGCAAAGAGTCTTACACAGTTGACAAGACCAGCATATTGGTGAAAACCTTGGGCTTAAAATTTTGAACTATTTGTGGTCATTAGTGCATTATTGAATTATAACTCCAGCCATTCCTTACCAGTGGACATGTTGTTGAAGTTTGGCAGC